TGGTGGCATCTTGCTGGAGGTGGCGGAAATGGCATCTGATGATCTTCTGGATGTGGATGCTGGTGGGATGGTAGGTAAATTCAAGGGGAACCCTATCGCTGTTGCAGGGAGAGAAGAGAGGGGGTGAGGGCAGAAGTGCAGAAGAGGGATCGGACCCAGTTGAGGGCGCTGTCGACAACTGTGCTGGGGATTCCTCAGTTGAGGAAGAAGGTGGAAATTTCGGAGGCACCCTTGTCAAAGTTAGCCTCATCAGAACATATGCAATGGAGACAGAGGAACTGGGAAAAGGAATGGAGTCTTTACCGGAAGCAGGGTGTGAGGATGTATAGTCCAGGTATCTGTGGGAGTTGGTGGGTTTATAGTGGACATTAGTGGCTAGTCTACCTGCAGAAATGCAAACAGGAATGTTGAGGAAGGGAAAGGAAGAGCCAGACATAGACCAGGTGAAAGTGAGGGTCGGGTGGAAATTGGAAGCAAAATCGATGAACAGATCGACTAGCAAAATTCTGAAGGAGAGCATCTATTTCCACATGGGGAGGAAAGGCTTGATCAGGGATAGTCAGCATGGTTTCATCAAAGGGAGGTCATGCCTAACAAATTTGATTGAATTTTTTGAGATGGTGACCAGATGTGTAGGTGAGGGTTAATGTAGTTTATATGGATTTCAGCAAAGCCTTTGACAAGGTTCCACGTAGGAGACTTAACAAGAAGGCAAATGCGCATGGGATACAGGGTAATTTTATAAAGTGGATTCAAACTGGCTCAGTTGTAGGAGACAGAGGGTGATGACAGAAAGCTTTAGTAACTGGAAGCCAGTTTCCAGAGGCGTACCACAGAGATCTGTATTGGGTCCCCAACTATTCGTCATTTATATAAATGACAGCAATGACTGTGCGGGTGTGTGGTTGGATTAATAAGTTTGCAGATGTCACAAAGATTGGTCGGGTGATTAACAGCAAGGCTGTGTGTCTTGGACTACAAGGAGATATGAATGGAATGGTCAAATGGGCAGATAAGTGGCAGATGGAATTTAACCCTGAAAAGTGTGAGGTGATACACTTTGGAAGGAATAACTTGACAAGAAAGTATTCAATGAACGGCATGACACCAAAAAGGTCTGTGGAACAAAGGGACCTTAGCGTGTTTGACCGCAGACCTATGATGGCAGAAAGAAATGTTAGTAGGGTGGTGAAAAAGGCGTATGGGAGACTTACCTTTATCAGTCGAGATATAGATTACAAAAGCAGGGAAGTTATGTTGAAGTTGTATAGAACTTTGAGACTACAGTTAGAGTACTGTGTGTAGTTCCAATCGCCACATTACAGGAAGGATGTGATAGCACTGGAGCAGGTGCAGAGGAGATTTGCTAAGACGCTGCTGTGATGGAAAATTTAAGTTATGAGGAAAAGTTGGATAGGTTTGGATTGTTTTCATTGGAGCAGAGAAGACTGAGAGGCAATCTAATCGAGATGTACAAGATTATGAGGGGCATGGACAGAGTGGATAAGGAGTAGCTGTTCCTCTTTAGTGAAGAGTCATTCACAAGGGGACTCAAGTTCAAGATGAGGGACAGGAGGTTTATGCGGGATATGAGGAAAAGCTTTTTTACCTAGAAGGTGGTGATGGTCTAGAATGCACTGCCTGGGAGGTGGTAGAGGCGAGTTGCCTCACCTCCTTTAAAAAGTAAATGGATCAGCACTTGGCATGTCATAACATTCAAGGCTGTGGGCCAAGGGCTGGTAAATGAGATTAGGTTGAACCTGAGGTTTTTCTCAAGTGTTGATGCAGACCTGATGGGCCACAAGGCCTCTTCTGCACTATATGATTCTAATGCTTCTGGCTGCAGTGAACAATATCTATCTACTGACTACACTGGCCCCTCTTTCAACTGCATTCCTCTTAACTTCTTCCACTCTCATCTGAATGGTAGCCTGCACCATTGTGAGACTATCAGATTCCTCAGTGTTCACTCTATTTATGAATGAGATGAAGATTGTCAGTACTCAGCCAAACTGCTTCATAAGAATATTTAGGCATGCGCCCATTAAGAGAATTCAAAATCATAGAATCACAAAATTGTTTTGGCATAGTAGGAGGCCAGTTGGCATCATTACATTTTCACTGGTTCTCCAACATGCATTATATCTTGGTGTTATTCTCCCTCCTGTCCCCATAACCTTTGCATGTTATTTATAGTCAAATAATCATCTAATGCCCTCTTGAATACCTCAATTGAACCTGTCTCTGGCACACTTCCAGAAAGTGCATTTGAGACTTTTTATTGTGTCAAAAATCTTCTTCTCACATCACATTTGCTATCTTGCAAATTAGTTTAAATCTGTGCCCCCTCATTCTTCTTCTACAAGCATGAAAAGTTTCTCCCTATCTACTTTATCTATACCTCTCATAATTTAGAAAACTTATACCAGATCTCCTCTTCTCTTGTCCCAATCTATTCTCATAACCTGTGGGATCTTGTCTTTCTCCAGCATTACAGTGCTCTCCTGAATCAATATGACCATTCTTCCTCCTTAGCTTGCTTTAATATCTTTTTGTAATATCTCATTCCCAGGAATATTTTTTAGCCAGTCTTGCCCTTCCTGAGTCAGATGTCTGTTATTTGCGACAACATATTTCCACGTGGTTTACAAGTGGTAGAGGGTTGTTTTTATGATTGTACGCTTGTGACCAGTGGTGTACCACAGTGATTGGCACTGGGACCTTAGCTGTGTACGTTAATGGCTTGAAGGTGATTGCAGTAGGTATAATCAGTAAGTTTGCTGATGACTTGAAAATTGGTGTTGTTGACAATGAGAAGGATGCTCTCAGGCTACAGTCTGATATTGATCAGCTGGTAAATGGGCAGAATAATACAGAAGAAATTTAATCCTAATAATTGTGAGATTATGCATTTTGGGAGGTCTAATAAGGGAATGATACTCATGATAAATGGTAGGTCACCTGATTACTGAGGAACAAAGGGACCTTAGTGTACAAGTCCATAGATCCCTGAAGAGGTGTTAGCAAAGGTCGACAGAATGATGAAAGAGGCAAATGGAATGCTTGCCTCCAATAGCTGGGATATAGAATAGATGAACAAGGAAGTTAATAAAACATTGGTTAGGCCACAGATGGAATACTGTATGCAGTTCTAGTTGTCAGACCTTTGGAGGATGTGATTGCTCTGGAGAGAGTTCAGAGGAGATTCACCAGATGTTGCCTGGGATGGAAAGTCTGAGTAATGAGTAGAGCTTAGATAGACTGGGTTTATTTTCCCTGGAGCAGAGCAGGCATTTGATCGAGGTGCATAAAATTATGAGAGGCATAGATAGGGTAGATCATGAGAATCTTTTCCCTGTAGCAGATGTGTCTAGAGGCCATAAGTTTAAGGTGAGGAGAAAGTAGTTAAGAGAGGATCTGAGGGAAAATTCTTTTATACAGGAGGTGATAGAAATATAGAACACACTGCCTGAGAGCATGGTGGAGGCAGATTGCTCTCTTGCAACATTTGAGAAGTATCTGGATGAGCACTTAAAATGCCAGGGAATAGTAGACTATGAACCAAGTACAAGTAAATGCGATTAATATAATTTGATGTTTGTTGATCAGCATAGACATGCTGGGCTGCAGGTCCTGTTTCTATTCTGTATGTCTCTATGATCTATGGCAATCTGCTGTGCTTTTAACTCCTTAGTCTTATTTACTATATTTCATGCATTCACACACATGCTCAGAAAGCCTGATTTAGATTTCATTACTTTCTCCCTTATTCCAACTTCATCTGTTAACATACTGTTCCCTATGCTAGTGCTTGTCTGTCTCTCAAAGTATTTTGTGGACCTTGGTATTCTTCTCTAAAATTCTCACTTTGTTCACACACTTCTGCCAAGTTAAAGTCCTCCGAATAGCACTAGCAAAATGCCAAGTAAGGAACATATTTCTGGCTCTGTTCAGGAGCAACCTATCTTGTATGGTGTCATCTCCTCAGAGCCAGTCCCAGGAATCTAAAATCCTTCCTCCAGCATCACTTGTCCAGCCACTCATTCATCTGCCTTATCCTCTTATTTCTGTACTCACTTGCGTGTGACCAATCCACGTCATTGGTATCAATATGGTCCACAATTTCTGGCTGTCCACCCTCCCTCAAAAGAACATCTATAGCTGCTCTGTGACTTCCTTGACCTTGGCACCAGAGATGCAGTATACCATCCTCGAGTTGTATCTGTGGCCAAAGAAAAGACTCCATGTTGTCCTAATTAATGTCATAAGTCAGACAACACCAGATTATAGTCCAGCATGTGACTTCACCTGACGAAGGGGCAATGCTTTGAAAGCTTGTGATTTCAATTAAGCCTGTTGGACCATAACCTAGTGTCATGTGACTGCTGACATTGTCCACCCCAGTCCAACACCAGCACCTCCACTTTGCAGCCCCTGTTAATAATTTCCCTATTACTATCGTTCCCCCTTTCTTCTTCCTCCCCTCCGCTACAGCTGAACTGCTCGTGGTGTGACAAATTTCACTCTGACTGCACTCATTTGCCTTCATCAGTTTCCAAAATGATAAACTGTTTTGAAGTTTTATCTTTGTTACAGGACATCAAGTTGCTGTTATTTGTGCACATGCAAAACTTGAAGAAGAAAACTAAATGTAAAAATGGGCTGTTCCAGCTGGGGTAACTGCCAACAGCTGTGAGATAGGAATGTCAGCTCAGTTTGACATTCTTGGTTATGACTCAGTCACTCCTTCTGGAAAGCCAGCATATGTTTCAAGCAAGAACAAAATTGGATTTGGCTGCAGTGGCCTCTAAAATCAAATATCTGAGCAACGCTCACTGTCTTGGCTTGCATGCGCAGAACAGGAACTTGGCTGCTATAGAACCCAAACCCAGTGCGAAGTAAACTGGCCTGGGGACAGAAGGAAGAATAAGGGTTTTTCAAAATGTATTCCCCACAAAAGTCAGGTCCACAAGTTGAAATTAAATTGCTTTTAATTTCAGAAACTGGAAAATGAACGAGAGAACGTGGATGAGCAATCGGATACAGCAGCATCCACAGCACGTAAGTTCATGTTTGAGAAGGAATGATAGAATTGTCATGGTACAGAAGGAGGCTACTTAACCCATTATGTTCATTCTGGCCCTCATACTGAGCAATTCATGTACTGCTAAGCCCTAACACCCCACCTCTTTAGATAAGGACATGATGGATAAGAGAGGTTTGGTTGGTTTGACGCTTACAGTACAAATGGATTGTTTACTAATATAAATACAGCTGTGTATTATGAGATTAAAGTAGCTATGAAATGTGAAACAGTTTGGCATCAGAATGTCTGGTACTTTGAAATCTAGAGGTAGATGATCAGCTATGATCAGTTTGAATGTTAAAGCAGATTCCATGGGGCAGATGGCCTGCTCCTCATATTCTGTTCCTTTTGCTCTCTTGACTAAAGATTTATACAGCACACATACTGGAGGATAGTTGTATAATTAGATCATAGAATCCCTACAGTGTGGAAACAGACCCTTCAGCCCAACAAGCCCATGCCAACCCTCAGAGCATCCCACCCAGACCCATCCCCATATAACCCACCTAATCTACACATGCCTGAACACTACAGGCAATTTAGCACAGTCAATCCACCTAGCCTGCACATCTTTGGACTGTGGGAGGAAACCAGAGAACCCGGAGGATACCCACACAGATACGGGGAGAATGTGCAAGCTCCACACAGACAGTCACCCAAAGGTGGAATCGAACCCAGGTCCCTGGTGCTGTGACGCAGCAGTGCTAACCACTGAGCCACCATGCTGCCCACGATGATATACACTCAGAATGACAGATAATAGGAACACATACAGTTGGAGACATATGCATTACATAAGAACATAGAATAAAATATTTAATAATAAACTAAAATCATGCAGATGTACTATTGAACTATAGTAATTTATCTTATAGAGCAAAATTTCAACCTCAGATTCCAATAATATTTAGCTTAATTACTAATTATTTATGAGAAATTTTGTTCAAAGCTTTCTAGAAGTCCAAATACGCACTTTATTGGTAAGGTTCCTCAAAGAAGTCACAGAACATGGAACATAGAACAGAATAGTGCAGCACAGGAATGGGCTCTTCAGCCCATGATGTTGTGCCAAACATTCACCAAATTAAACTAATCCTATCTGCCTACACTTGGCCCATATCTCTCCATTTCTTGCATATTCACGTGCTTATCTAAAATTCCCTTAAACACCCCTATCGTATCTGCCTCCACCACCACCCTTGGCAGCGCGTTCCAGATTCTCTGTGTTAAAAACTTGCCCCTCATATCTCCTTTGAACTTTCCCCCTCTCACCTTAAATGCATGCACCCTAGTGCTAGACATTTCAATTTCGGGAGAAAGATTCTGACCGTTAACCCTACCTATGCATTTCATGAGTTTATAGATTTCTATCAAGTCTCCCCTCAGCCTCCGCTGCTCCAGAGAAAACAACCTGAGATTTTCTAGCCTGTCCTTATAGCACACACCCTCTCATCCTCCCGATGTGGTCTCCTCTACATCAGGGACCAGTTTGTGGAGCATCTGCACTTTGCACGCACCAACCAACTCAAGCTTCCAGTTGCCAATCACTTTAACTCCCCCTCCACCCGCCTGGTGACATGTTCATCCTTGGCCTCCTCCACTGTCAGAGTGAGGCCAAATGTAAACCGGACGAACAACACCTCATGTTTCGCCTTGGGTGCTTACTGCCCAATGGCCTAAATATTGACTTCACCAGCTTCAAAATCTCTTCACCCCCAACCTGTCCATCTTCCTACTCACCAATCGACTCCACCCTTCCCATTGACCAACCACTATAACCCCCTACCTGCAACCACCTACCTCCATCTCACCTGGCTCCACCCCGTTGCCTCAATTTATTTCTGGGCTCATGTGGCCAAGTCACTGTGGATCCAATGCATCAAACAGGTTTACTAAACATTTACATCAATACTGGCTGTATCTCTCTTACAATGCTTATTTTATGCATCTGCCCATAGGATGTATTTATCTCATTAAGTACCCTGCACTTTATTACAAGATTCTCTGAAATTTTGTTGTGCTACCAACCAAGTCAATAAAAACTGAAAATAATCATTAATTTCTGTTTACCTTCCATTTTCAGTTATCCTATCATTTCTATCCTTCAGCATTCTGACCTCTTTTTAAAGGTATTCTTAATTGCTGCGCTATTAAGAAATGTTTTTAATTGTATCCTGCAACCACTACTTGGTTTGTTTATACCTTACACTTAGGTAACTACCTTGTTATGTTCTTCCTTTATCATCATTCAAAATTTCAGTTTTGTCAAATTATCCCTCAACAGATCACTTAACTTCATCCGGGGACCAAAAAAGTTATCAATTAGCAACAGATGCAATTTAATTTCTTGTGTTTGTCTTCCACTGAAGATTGGCTTCTTTCGATCATGTACTTGTGTCCTCACTAATCCTGTTGCTAAACAGCATCAAGTATAGTCACACTGTGGTCACTTATGCCAGAGGTTCCAGTAATTCTATATTGTGGATGATTATCTTTGTAAGAACCTGATCTAGTAGTGAGATCCCCTCAGTGAGTACAATATTCATTTAACTCAATTCACTAATCCACTAATGTGGTTGACTCTTAGCTGCCCTTTGAAGCAAAATATTCATGAAAAAATAAAATATGCTAAAGTTAAGGACCAGCAATAATCCTTTGAAACAGTTTTGTGACATACTCCCACTAAGCGAAGTTTCTGAGTAGAAGCACAAGGATTTGCCCCATTGTGTCTAGGAACAGATTTGCACCCCACTTGTTAGCTCTGATTCTATTGCGGAGGGAGCTGATGAGCTCAATTGACTAGAGAGTGGTGCAAAATAGTGGTGAGCGTACGGGTACAACATTCACACTTGCTGAGGCAGTTCTTGTCCGAAAGTTATGTCATGATGCAAACCATGATTTGCAACCTAACTATGTGAAAAGAAAGATTTTATTGCAGCATGAGGCCACTTCCAATTTATACTAGGATGGGTGAGTTGCCATTATTTTTGCACGTAACCTCAATCCCATTATACATGCAATTACACACCTTTAGCTGGTCTTGGGGTCTGTAAGTTATTTTCTGGGATAGTCTAGCATTTGGGAAAGGAGAGCATGAAATGAAAGATGTAAAAAATGGCTGGCAATCAGGTGTCAAAAGCACCAAATGAATAACTCTTCACTGTAAGAATAACTATTTGATACTTCTTGAATAATGGTCCAGTCAGTTTAATATTGGTTGTGGGAGGTCTTCAGAAACAATTTTCACCCAGACTATTAACAAATATGTGGAGAAAGCTGGATTAATAAAGTCAAGCCAGGCAGGATTCATTTTGTTAACAAAAAATTATACTCAACGAACTCAGCTGTATTTTTTGATGGGGTAACAGGATTATGTGGATGAGGACAGTGACATTACATTTGTGTATTGTTACGACCAGTTTGTTATGATTTGGACGGGATACACCAAATGGCTATGCTTCAAGTGAGGGATGAACTGGCTCTCCTTCTTAATTCAATTCCTTCCATAGTTGGTGAGAACAAGTTAATTTGAAATGGTCTACTTCCTTTATAGTACCTTTTCTTTAATCCAAAAGTACTTTATTTTAAAAGAAGCTAAATTAACAAGGCTTTTTTGAGTTATAAAAAGAGTTTATTAGCTACAAAATGTGAGAAAAGATAAAAAAAATACACGGATTAGCAATGTGAATTGAGTAAAAAGGTAATGCTTAAAAAGACACAAATCATCTCTGGGTTCTGTGAATAATAAAAGGTGGAACACCTATTTTCATATCAGCTCTGCGTAGCCCTCAACTCCCTAATTCAAAAGTCTTTCTACTTCTTTAAATACTTTCAGTGATCTAGCCTCCACAACTCTTTGAGACATTTATTACACATGGATACAGGCTAATGCAGGAATAAAGTGTACAGTAAACAGCAGAACCCTTAGGAGCACCAACATACAGAGGGATCAGGTGTGTATACCCACAGTTCCCAAAAAGTGGCAATACAGGTGGTGGTCACAAAGGCATGTGGCATGCTTGCCTTCATCAGTCAGGGCATAGAGCATGAAAATTGTCAAGTCATATAGCAGCTGTATAAAAAGTTAATTAGGCCTCATTTTGAATATTGTATACTGTTCTGATTGCCACACTACCAGAAGGATGTGGATGCTTTGGAAAGGGTACAGAGAAGCTTTACCAGGATGTTGCCTGGTTTTTAAGGTATTAGCTATGCGGAGGGGTTGGACAAACTTGCTTTGTTTCCACTTGAACAATGGAGGCTGAGGGGACAACCTAATAAACGTTTACAGAATGGAATAGAATGGATAGTTTGAGTCATTTTCCTATGGTGGAAATGTCAATTACAAGGGGAGATAGGTTTATGGTAAAAGGGGACATATTTAAAGGAGATGAGAGTGACAGGCTTTTTTTATGCACAGAGGATGTTTGACCACAGGTGTTTCATCCTTTTCATCAAATCCTTCCTTATGACGGGAATAAACTTTTGCTGAGCACAATGAAATGTCTGCCACAGCTCATTCACTGACTTTCCCTATTTAGACATCTCTTTGTTCATACCTCTAATTGTTTGACTATTGGGCACGATGACTCAATGGTTAGCACTGCCACCTCACAGCGCCAGAGACCTGTGTTCAATTCCATCCTCGGGCACATTCTACACATTCTCCCCCTGTCTGCATGGGTTTTCTCCGGATGCCCAAGTTTGCTCCCACAGTCCAAATATGTGCAGGTTTGGTGGACTGGTCATATTAAATTGCCCATAGCATTCAGGGATGTGCAGGTAGGATAGTCATGAGAAATGCCGAGTTACAGGGATAGGGTTGGGGGGAGGGATAGATGGTCTTCAGGGGGTCAGTCTTCAACAGGCTGAATGGCCTGTTTCCGCATTGTAGGGATTCTAGGTAATTGTTTGACTCCACTTCCTATCATAAGAATGCATCATCTCCAATTTTAACCAATGAGCAGTACATTGT